AAATGGAGGTTCATAGAGGTTCAGGTTAGGTAAATCATGGACCCCAGCTTGAACAGGGAAATGTCCTGCTCCAGCCTCTGTACCATATCAGCACCATCTTATACATCCTGTGCTACCTTAGCAAGACATTTAGGGCTGTCTCTGGAGGTCAATTTGGGCAGCCTCAAAGATACTGTAGATGTCGGATGGAATTCTGTTTTAAGAATCATCCAATAATCTGTCATTTTCAGATAGGAAAACTGAGGCATAGAGAGGATAAAGGCATTTGTCCAAATTCAAACAGTAGAGCCAGGTGTGGTGGTGCACGCCTATAATCTTAGCACTGAGGATGCTGAGACAGGAGGGTTGCCCTTTGAGTTCTGAACTACAGAGCAAAACCTTGTCTCAAAAACAAACAAATCATCCAACCAACAAAAAAACAAAACCAAGCTCCGAGGCAGAGCATGAACCCGCGTCTGGCTGACACCTTCAGTCTAGTGCTTGCTACCCAAAGCCATGGCTTGCTAAGCCCAAGCTCATTTCCCACCATCCTTCGGACTTGCCTGAGTGTGCCTCGCAGAGTTAGCACAGCTGTCCTGAGGACGCCACGTTGGTCTCACTGTGCCACTTCCTTCTAGTCCCTGTTAGGTTTCTTCTAACCCTTGTTCCTGACTCTTTTTCAAGTAAACAGAACTACTCAGCAGCTTCTTTCCTGTTTGTCACTTCCCAGGTGTCCCTCATGTCCATATAAATGGGCACGGTCAGTCTAGTTTACGATTCCATAGTCTCTTCATGGTGAATACAGACTGGAGTCCTGTTCTGGCTGCACTGGTGTATGGTTACAGATTGGCTTTGGAAGATCCTAGAATATCACGTGTGTGGATGGCTCTCCACGTGCATCCTGGGCCAGGGTTGGTCCAGGAAAACTACTCCACTGGTGCATGTGAGGAGTGGAAGAGAAGGGCAGTGCAGAAAAGTTGAGGAGAGAGAGAGAGAGAGAGAGAGAGAGAGAGAGAGAGAGAGAGAGAGAGAGGCAAGTGATGACTGTATTGTGAGCTTTTCCCTTCTTTTGTGTATTGAATTACTTTGAAATGATGCTGAAAGAAGACACTGTTACTATTTTATCAAAACATAAGTTATTAGTCCCATCAGCCTTGTAATGTTTTAAAAACATTTTCAAAAATGGCTGAACGAAATCCAAGGGAAACCACTCTGGAGCAGCTCCTCCTGCGGTGTGGGATTCTCCCTCTGGAGTTGGGATTCACTGCTTTCTGAGAAAATCTGGCTCACTTTTGAGTGGTGCTCAGAGCTTTCTCACTGTGAGAATTGAAGATCGGCTTCCTCTAATGTCTATAGTTAGTCTTAATCCACCTTCTAGAATAATTCAGCTTCTTTCAGGTAGTTCCAACATTTATAGGACCACCTGGTGGAGGGGCACATGTTGTTTTAGTTAGGAGAATTAGGAGAGGGCGCATGGAGGTACTGCTCTGGTTTCTTCTCCATGACTTTTTTCTCACTGTCTTCTTGTAATAATAAAAACAACAACAACAATAGTGTGGGTTCACTGAGTGCTTCCTTTGTGTGAGGTGTGGCCCTTTGCCCCTTGGGTTGCATTAAGTCACCCTCAGAGGCAGATCCATTATTAACCGTGTTTTACAGAATGAAAAACTGAGGCACGGAGGAAATAAGGGTCTCACCCCGGTCAAATTGAGATGGATAGTTGATAGTTGATAGTTGATGGATAGATGATAGTGGGATTCTAGAAACTGCCCTTTTAATTACTAGACATTTAACCCACAATTTAACTGCCTAATGTCATCTCTCACATCTCTTCTCTACCCCTCAATGTTAAAATTCTTAAAATATGATGCCAGAGTTACACATAAAACTGATGGCCTGATGAGTCCATCGTGGAGATTGTCCAGGTCTTAGTTGGACACTGTGTATGATTATAAATGTAACCTAAGAGCACATTTAGTGAGTCTGGCAGCAACACCATATCCTGAACTTGCATTTGACTCAAATAACCCAGGTCATTTTAAAAAACTGGGTCATTCCATTCTATGTTTTTGAAATTGATTTTAAAATATAAGAGCCAGGTATGAAATACTTGGCATTTGTCATTTTTTATCAATAACTGCAGAAAAGGAAAATTTGCAGAACACTGAGAATAATTTGATGGTTTAGAGTAATGAGATTGTGGACAATTTTTCTTATTTTTGAAATTATTTCATTTGTGGTTGTCATGATGCTGTTATGCAAGAAATAACCAGTAAAGTAAAAAATAGACTTTTTAAAGTTTAGACTATGTCTTGGTTGCTTTTGTTCTCATTGCTGGGACGAAAATACCTGATGTCCAAAATTAAGGAAGAAAAGGCTTATTTAGCTCACAGTTTGTGGAGGTTTCAGTCCATAATCAGCTGGCTCCAAAGCAGGGGGGTATGGCACAGGGGCAACACTTCAAGGCTGCAGAAGACAGCAAAGCAACAAGAGCAAAAGAGTAGGGGGAAGAGCAAGCCTCTTTACTTCCTTTATATTGTAAGTAAGCTACGTCCCTCGGGTGGGTGTCTCACTCACAACATCTGGGTGCCCTCCCCTTGCTGAGGATGTCACAAGTTAAGGACCCTTCTCCCCCATCACTTAAACAATTGCCACTATGAACAATATCCTAAAACCATAAAGGCTTGTCCTGTAGACCCCAGAATGCAGAGCTGCTGACTTGTACTTAATGAAGCTTCTAGACTTCTCAAGTTGACACAATGTATCAACCACAACAGCCCATCCTTTTAGCTTGTTATGTGTTGTAACAAGAGCACAGCAGTTCTGCACCACATACCATAGGAAATCCACCTTGTCTTCTTCCAGGTGGTTAGTATCGCAGATGGACTTCCCAGAGGGCAGGGATAGAGCACAGAACTCCATGTAATTTAATCTAGATGCTTGGTGCACTGACTTCAGGGGGTGGACTGAGCTCAGTAGTGATATGCAGGTAGATTAACAAAACACACATTAGAGCCATTTGTCAGCTGAGGGCTGGTTCTGAGGTGTCAGTTATGGATTCTGGGTGGAATGATCAGGATCTATCATTCAGTATTTCAGGACTGGCTTGCAGTCTAGTGTCTTGTAAGCTCCAGAAACTGAAAACTATGATCATACAGATATTGGTAGATAAACTCAGAGGAGGAAACTTGGCCAGAGGACAGAATTGTGGCTGGGACGAATCATTTATTTGCATGAGCATATCTCTCTATAGTTGATACCCGAATCTTCTGAAATTCCACCTTCTTCTCTGATGCCTGTGTTATCTTAATCAAAGGGAAAATACTAGAGGGATTCTGTAGTAGTGGTGCTGCCACCTACCATTTCCTTCTTAGAAATGGTTTCGTGGTTCTAGAAGTTCACGTCCAGGCCTGATCCCTCCTTCCTGGTCCTCAGAGCCTGGATGCTACAGCGCGTCCTGATTAGCTGACACATTTCCTCCTGTTGTTTCCTTTAGGGACACCAGCCTCTCTGCTCTCTCAGACCCCATTTCCTTCCCTTTCTTCTCCTCCTCCTCTTCCTTCTTCTGCTTGTTCTTTGATGTCTTTTTTGAAACAGGGTTTCACTATGCATTTCAGGCTGGTCTCGAACTCACAGTAATCCTCCTGTCTCAACCTCCTGAGTTCTGGGATTACAGATGTGCACCACCACACCCAGGCCCCCTCCTTTGCCGTACCTCAGATTGCCCCCTTCTTTGACATCTCCTCTATTCATTGTCAGTTCCATGTCACTCAGCTTTCTGTCACTATAGCAAAATACTTGAAACAACCCACTTATAAAGCCAAAAGTTTCAGTTTGGATCACAGTCTTGGATTCTTCAGTCTACCATCAGCTGTGCCCATTGCTTTGGCCCTATGGTTAGGTAGCACATGAGCATGGGAATGTGTGGCAGAGCAAAATTCGTCAATCATGACTGGAAAACAGAAAAAAAGAGAGAATGGGGCCATCCTAGAGACTTAAAGACCTGCCACTTGTTCCTATCTTTTAAAGATTCTATCACTTCCCATTAATGTCATGTTGGGAACTAAGCCTTTAACAAGTGACCTCTGGAGGACATCAGACACCCAATCTATAATGTCCTCTCCTTCCAACCAGCTGGAGCCTGCCTGTCCAGTCTTCTGAGGTCCCACTCACATGCTTCATCCCCACCAGAGCTCCCCTGAATGTTCCAGCTCTTGCAGACTCCTGCTCTTCGTGGAGAGAGGATGGTGACCTCTGTGACACAATTTAGCACAGTAGTTTGCATAGTCGTGTCTTCTCTAGTGTTGCTCCATACGGGCAATTTTCTTCTTATATATAACAGGACCAGGGATTTCACTAGCAAGGAAAGATCCCAGACACCCAATAAATGTGTGCTAGTTTTAAAGATTGTTTTATTCCAGAAAGCGAATTAAAAGTAGTCAGGGTTTTGGTTTTTCCATCTTGTCTTCATCATGCTTTTCCGTGCACACTTTCCTCCTGCCCAACTGAACTCTTCCCTTTATTTGACAGTTCCTCCTGTAGGAAGACTTTCATTTTTCCATCATAAACAACGCAGGCAGTTTTGTCATCTGCTTGTAAATGCGACGCTCCCTTTCTGCAAGCTTTTACAGGGGCCCCTGAGCTCCATCCCTGCTCAAGATTTTCCAGCAGGCAAGAGCCTCCAGCAAAAGACTACTCCATGGTCAGTTTGGGATACTTGACAGCTAAGAGCACTATTTTCTCTGGGGCTCCTATATAGAAAGACCCAGAACTCAGGAGAAATGGAGGCACCCAGCAGGGACAGGGAGGTGTGTGTCTGCATTCTGCTTGCCTCTTAAAAACATAACCATTTTGCACCAGGAAGCCTTTGCCAGGAAACTTTCCCACTCAGCGTTGTGGGCACAGAGCTGCCAGTGTGTGCCCACTCTGCCATCAGGCAGATCCCCCGGGCCCTGCTTTTCCTGCCTTTCACCCCTGCATGATCTTACACAGGCTGTAAAGATGTTTTCTTTCATTGGCAGGTGAAGTCTGGAGCAGGACCCTGAGGCTTTCTGTCCTCCATGCGGCTCACTAGAAAGGAGACTGTGAACTGTAAGTAACTTTGATTGACGTTTTCCACACTGACTCAATAAGGTTATGGGTTCAAAGCCGGTCCTGAACCTGACCTTTAACAGCCATGCACTGGACAAGAGAAATATTCAACAGTGAGCTGGTCAGAATGTAAAATTCAGTGGCGCTCTAATTAGACTATGCCTGAATGTGACAAAGCAGCCCTGTAATGTGACACGCCATTTAATTAAACTATATTGATTGGACGGTAAGGTGGACTTGACGTGTTACATGTATCATGAACGCTGGGGAAGGAAGATCTGGAGTCCTCAGAGCTGACCCAGTTTGGAGGACACGGGAGAAGTGGCAGCACCGTGAGTTCCCAGACAAGGCCACATTCATAGCCTGCACTTAACGTTTACGTCTGGTTATTTCTGGGGAGGCCAAAGAAAATACTGCTGACCACTTCCCTTGCCCCCACCCAGTAAGAGCTCTGCTACAAACAGTATGAGCCTAAGTACAGGCTCGCATCACCTCTTCCTGCTTGGCAAGAGTCTGCCCACCTGTAGGAGCTGGCTGAAGTCCAGCTTGCTCTGTGGAGTCTTTTTTTTGAAATCCTAGTGAGAAGCAAGTTCCCTCTTGAGATTCTGCAGCGTTTACATGCCGCCCTGTCCTCTAGCTGGCCTTTTCTGTGCTGTCTCCAGCGAGGCCATGAGCTCCTGGAGGATAAAGCCTGGGACTCCCCCGTGTTTTCACACTGCACCTTAAGTCCAGTTACCGATGGTGATTGTCAGCTAGATGATTGGGCTGCCCTGGGCCGGCAGGACTCCTCCACTCTGCTTCTGGGGCTACCCTAGACCAGGTTGCTGCTACGTTACGACTTTGATAGTACATTGGCTTCCAACCAGTCCATGGAATTATAAATGATTAACCGTTATCAGCGCACATCTTCACCTCTGTGTAAAAATAGATTGACTGTAATGAGTATTTGAATAAATCATAAGAATAGCTGCCCTGTGATCGGCTAACATCCTGCCGATGGCTGCCCGGTGAGTGAGCAGGGCGCCAGCCCTGCCGCCTAATGGCCTGCGATTCAGTGCGGCTTGCCTCTGTGATTGACGGGCCTGGGCTCCCAGGGTGCCTCCCCTGCAGCTCAGGCTCAGGAGTGGTTGGATCCCCAGGCTGAGGGGGTGGAGAAGGGTGCCTCCCTCTGTCCTATTCCAGGAAAGCCTGCCTTGAGGTGGGACTGGGGGGAGGGAACAAGAGTAGAAGATAATGACCTTTGTGAGAATCGATGTCTCCTCGCACCAGAGGTTAGAGGGATCTCATAATTCAAGTCAAGAATGAGGAACAAGCTGAGCATGAACCTTAATGAGAGCTGAGCGTAGGGGAGAAATCCATCTGTACCTTCCCTCCCAGTCCTGGAGGGCACCTCAGGCCTGGGCCACCCACACCCAGAGAGAGCTCCTTCGCAGGGACACTCAGACCTCAGTAAAGATCTGGGAAGAGCAGATTTCTTCAGGTGCCAGGACTCTGAAATGGGAAGGGCTCAAGTGATCTTGCAGGCAGTGGTTTGCTGAAGCCAAGTCAGGCCTGAGGAGCCTTTTGGAGAGGGAGAAGGAAGAGGCCAGGAAGGAGGCTCAGAGTGCTGGGACCAGGTAAGGAGGAGAGAGTCTGCCAGTTGAAGTCTCAGAGAGAAGACCAAAGAGGGCTGGATTCGAGTGGGAAATAACAAACATTCCAGTGGTATTTAGTTCCTAGACTGTGTGGCAAATCACCTCCAAAACATAGTGCCCGAACAACATTTATGTCTTCATGCATTCTGTAAGTTGGGAATTTAGACAAAATGGGATGGGGACAATCTGGCTGTTTTAGCGGGTCTGAGATTTCACATGGGTCAACTCAGAAGCTGGTGCTGGGGTTGTCCACCTCCATAGGTTCCTTTGTTCTAGACTTTGAGGCTGCCTGTTGGCTAAGAGATTAGCTGGGCTTGCCATGTGGTTTTCCACGAGGAGCAGCCTAAGAGAGAGCCAAAGCAAGGTGGGTGCTGCACCACCCATGGAGGGCCAGCTTATGTTGCCGCAGCCATCTTTGGAGAAGACAGTCTCCTCTGACTGGCCTTTGCCAAGCATTTGCTAGCGGTGTGGTACAACCGGTCTCATCTGTTTTCCATCAGGAGTGCAATGAAATGTTCTGTGAGAGGGAGATGTGCTCTCCATCTTAGATAAAATGAACTGCCTTTTGACTCCGAAGGAGGGGCTTTTGCAATGAGACTTCCTTCCTGGACGGGACTTGGTAATTCTGGAAGGTCCTGCAGTTGGGAGAAACCTTAGCCTCTTAGGTCATCTCAGCAAGAGTGTGTCCAGTATGCAATCTGTAGCCATGACGTGTCTGGGCTAAGCTGTCTGAGACCCACAAGTCTTGTCCTTGGTTGACAGCTGGACTCCTTCCATCTCTGTTGGTGTGGCCTTCCAGGCCAGTGTGGATTTCAGCCAAAGAGCAAGGTCTCAGAGGTGATGAGGGGCTTGCTGGAGATGAGGAGCTCCAGGCAGCCCTTGCTTCCTGGCCCCTCAGTGCTTCGGCTGTGCTCCGATTTGGGGAGGGCCTGCTCGTAAGGAACCCTGCTTTTTTCTCTTTTCTGTGTTCATGATGTAAATTCAGCTGAGAGCTAGAAGAGAATCTGAGTGTCTCTCACGGGGATGGAAGCAAAATCCAAGCAACCAAAGGGTAGAAACTGAGGCAGTCTATCCCTGCCCCTGCCCCAACACACGCAAAGGGCTGCGGTTTGAAAACAGCTAATGTTGGAAGGGAGGGCAGGGAAGAAAGGGCTAAGTGGTTTTTAGTTTTGATGAAAAGGTGCTGGGGTTTGGAAAGAAAGTCTTAGGTTCTTCCATATCAGCTTATTATGAACATTAGTAAGCCACACTTTCTGGGTACTTGCTGCATGCTAGGTACTACACTAAGCACTTGGGGTACTTTGCACTAAGCACATGGGGTACAATTTCTGATTGGCCCTGCTATATGAGATCCTGTTATCATCTCTGAATTACAGTCATGGAAGTGAAGGCCTAGAGAACAAGATATACTAAAGGGTAACTGTAAGCTGGCAACAGAGTTGAAATCAACTTACAACTTTATTCTTGATTTAAACTGCTTCATTATTTGATCAGTGCACAGTGTATTGAAATTATCACACTGAATTCTGTTCATGTGTGCAAGGAATATATGTAAATAAAAATTAATTCACTGCTTTTTTTTTTGTCTTTTTTTTTTTTTTTTTTTTAGACAAGGTCTTTGCTATGCAGTTCAGGGTGGCCTTGAGCTCACTTTGTAGCCCAGGCTGGTCTCAAACTTGCAGAATCCTCCTGCCTCAGCTTCCCAAGTGCTGGGATTGCAGACTTGTACCATCATGCCTGAGACAAAAAGCACTAATTATTTTTTTAAAAAGAGTCTTAAAAAAGCTTCACTTTACTCTTCTGTAAAACGGGGATTCTGATGATATCACTACAGTGTCAACTTTAGTTCTGAGAGTCTAAATACACATAATATTCTAGAAACTTGTTTAGACATATTTAAAATGAGCTCCCTTTATGGAGATAGATAGGTTGATATTAAAGTAGGAAATGATTTTCTGTTCTTCTCCCTATTATGAAATGTAGGCCGGGAAACTAATGTTTAATTCGGGCAGGTGGAGGAAACAGATAAAAACATAAAGATCTTTTAGATTTCTGAGGCTCCAACTTGGAGGAAAAATGAATCCCAGCCTTGTAACAGTGCCTTTGTAACCTTGGCGTATGACTTTGGTCGTGAGGTTCCTTGTTTCTACAAAGGAGTCGAGATTATATAAACTTCCCAGAAGTGCTGTGGAGACTCCATAAAATCCAACATGTGAACACCATACACTTAGAGCCATTCCTGCTCACAGTAGGTGCCTAATAGTGGTTTAGGGACTCAGCAACCTAGTAAATAAATAAAAAGTAGAGTTTGATAGAAAGATTATCCCTCTCCATTGCTTCTGACAGAGATGGTCAAGAATCTTGCCTTTAACTGTACTCTCCATAAAAGTTCACTCATAAACTATTGATATTTTAATAATACACATTAGCATCTTGCCCTTTGACAAATGAATATTGAATGAGCAATAAAGAGGCAAAAGAGTAACCAGGTATGCTGCTTTGGAGAAGCTGGAGTCTTAGGGAGTTGTCCAAGGGAATGGCCCCTTTACAGAAGCCTTGTGAATCACCTCTCTCCCCAGTGACCCCTGGAAACAGCTCTTAAAAGGCTCTCAGAGTACAGCCAGACTGACCCAGTCTGGGCAGGGTTTGTCCTCCTCTGTGTTCCTTTTGCTTGGCTGGAAGGGCCTGGGGGAGGAGAGAAGGTCATTAAAGTGGGTCTAAAGGGGTAGAGACTTTACTCCACATCAAATCCCTTGGATTCCCCCCATTCACTTTGCAAAAGGTGTAAGCTTGAAGCTCACACTCTCTCAGGCTGTGAGTTAAAAGTCTGCTGACAGCCAGACAGCACACCCACAAGAAACCAGGTGCACCCTCTCTGGGGCTCTCCCAGGTGGTGGTGAGAGCCCATGCTGGGGCAGGGGTGCTCAGATTTGTAAGATAGAGCTCCTTGCCTCTTCTGGCACCTGTTTCCAGCCCCACTGCCACAGTCTCTGGTGTCTTGTGGCCTCCATCTGGGCTGGGAGTCCTTGAGTGTACGGAGAGCAGTGACAGGGGCTCTTCGTGGGTCCAGCTTAATTGGTGTGATTTAATGGCATATCTGGTGGATTCAGGTTTATATGGCTTTCTGAGCCGCAAATCTGCTTTCTAAATGTAGAATTTTTGTGGAGTGGTAAAAAATAATGGCTGTTCTGTGATTCCTGCCTCCCGAGCTAGGAGATTGCAATTTACATTATGCAAATAGACATTATGCAATCAAGGCACTTTAGCAGGAATCTGGCGGCAGAGAGGCCACTGATGAGAAGCCGAGGCCTGCAGCCCTGACTGGAGGGCTCAGGAAGAGGGGAGAGAAGTGGGAGGAGGTGCGTC